TGAAAGGGGAAATAAGCAAATCTACTAAGAGATTTTAACAACTCTGCAACAAGTGAGAGCACAGGTAAACTGCAAACTAGGGAGGAGTTAAGGATTTACCAAAACTCACCCAACTGATGTAATTAACATTTATAGGACATTCCACCCTAAGACAATGGAATCCATATCTTTTCAAGTGTACATGAAATGTTACTGAGATACACCATAATCTGGGCCATAAAACCAGTCTCAGAAATGTAAAGGGACCTGAATCATGCAGTCAGGCCACAATCGAAATCAATTAGAAATTTAAAATGAGTGATATCTGAGAAATCACCAAATGGGTGTATGGAAAGTAGGATTCCAACCAGGCCCCATGACCTTTGACCTCACGCCTTACTCATGAATTTATGACACATAGGGAAAGGGACTGTGTGCATGTAATTAAGGCTCCTAACCTACCCAGGGTAAACCAGGGAGATGGTCCAGGTAGCTGGCCTGATCTCAGAAAAAGCCAGGACCCTAAAGACCTCAAGAGCTGGGAGATGCCCAAATTTATTCCTCCAACTGCAAGGAGCTGAGTTCTGCAAACAGAGAGTGTCTTGGGCAGGGACCCCATCCTCCAGAAGAGAGGATAAGAGCCAGGCCTTGGCTTCAGCTGAACGGAACTCAGCCCTGAGCTCTGGCCTTCTGAGTCTGTTCAATACTAACTGCCAATAGGTTGGAGCTGCTGCTTCTGCTAAAACATGTGATGGAGCAATAGAAAACCAATATGATACAGAAATTAACATGCTTTTATACAGCACAGACGCTAAGGACTCTAGGAGGATATTAGAAAGCATTTTGAACTGAAGGAAAACAAAACCCCAACATACAAAATTTTGGGAGTTTTAGCTAGCATTACACCAGAAAAGAAGAAAAGTCAACTACCACAGCTTCCACCTTAAGAAATCAGAAAAAAGAAAAACAAATTCAATTTAAAGTCAGCAGAGGAAATTGTTAATCTGAGAGCAGAAATTTTAAAAACTAGAAAGAAAATCCATGAAACCAAAGCTATTTGCTTGAGAAGATCAAACAAATCCAGTAAATTCTAATCAGATTAGTCTGGAGAAAATACACAGCACTAAGTCAGGAGTGTGATCGTGGAGACCCTGATAGAACTTACAAGTATTAGAAGGATAATAAGGAACTATAGTGAACACTGAGACCAAATGGATAAACTACCAGCTCACTGAAAAAGATAGATAACCCATACAACCTTAGCTCTATTAAGGAAATTGAAGCTGTAGTTTAACATCTTCCCACAAAGAAAATTCCAGGTTCAAATGCCTACATAGGTGAATTCTTTCAAACATTTAAGAAGAAATGATATGAATTCTACACAAACTGTTCAATGTCTGAAGAGAAAGGAGTACTTCCCTGCTCCTTGTCTGAGGACAGCATCGGTCTGACCCATAACCAGGCAAAGACGCTTCAAGAAAACATTTAGGGGCTGGGGATTTAGCTCAGCGGCAAAAGCGCCTGCCTTGTAAGCGCAAAGTTGTGAGTTCGGTTCCCGGTACCGGAGAAAAACCAAAAAGAAAAAACATTTAATATATATAAATGCAAAAATTCCTAACAGAATGTTAGCAAGTCAAGCCCCAAAATATATAAAATGGATAGTACTCGTGAGCAAGTGTGATTGATCCCAGGAATACTCCATTATTTTCACATCTGAAAATAAATTAATCTGGGCAACCCATTTGGGACCCCTCCTGTCTCTCAGGAACTATTCCTATTCCCCATTCCCCCGTTCCTAGTCCCCATTCCTTTTCTCTAATAAAATTTCCTACTCTTAAAAAAAAAAAACAAAAGAAAATCAATTAATTTAATTCACCCTATTAACACACTGAAAGAGAAAAGGCCTAGGAGTGTTGCTATAAAGCATTTCACAAAATCCAACATCTCTTCCTGATAACAGCTCCCAGTAGAGAATAAAAGGAAATTTCCTCAACTTCATAAAAAGTATGGAGAAACATAACCAACATCACCCTTAATAGTGAAAGGTGAATACTTTCCAAGATCAGGAACCAGCTCTCCACTGGTTCTAACCCAGTTATATAAAAGATAATCCTTTCCCTGCTGAATTGCCTTGGCAATGCATTTAACCCAGGATCTCACATGTGCTAGGCAAGGCTAGCATTCTCCTACTGAGCTAAACCCACACTCTTTTGATTTATCTTTATACTGGTACCACATACTCTTGAGTTCTATCACAAGTCTCAAAGGCAAGATGAGGACATCCACCCTCCTTACTTCTGTTTACCGTGGTGTGCAAAGACTTTAGCACTCAGGAAAAGAAAGAAAGAAAAAATATAACCAAACTAAAAAGGAAGGAGAGCTAGCTTTATTCAAGGAAGAAATGATAATCTTTGAAGAAAATCCTATAAAATCTATGATAAAGTTATTAAACTAACATGTGAATTTAGTAGAGTTTTAGGATAGATGGTCAACAGATAAAAATCAACAGAACTTCTATATACCAGTATTAAAAATTTTGGAATTGGGGGCTGGGGATTTAGCTCAGTGGCACAGCCCCTGCCTGGAAAGTGCAAGGTCATGAGTTCAATTCCCAGTACTGGAAAAAAACCAAAAAATAAAAAATAAAAATTTTGGAATTGAAGTTTAAAATGTCCATTTACATGAGAATGAAAAATAGGAAATGTGTACAGATAAATTTAACAAAAGATATCCAAGACTCTGAAATCTATAAACTATACTAAGAGATAGTAAAATTTTTTTAAAAAAAACTCAATAAATGGAGAGATATGCAGTGTTGATAGGCAGGAAGAATTAAGGTTGCCACAATATCCATTCTTCCCAAACTGGTCTCTATAGGTTCACTCAGAATCAAGACCTCAGGAGGAGTTTTTTTTAGAAATAAGTGATACGATTTTCAAATTTATATGAAAATACAAAAGTTCTAAAATAACTAAAACAATTTTGAAAATGAAGGAAAGTGTTGGATGATTCACTCTACTTGACTTTGAAATTTGTTACAGTATTCAAGACCATATGGTACTGACCTAAAGATTAATCAGAAAGACTGAGGTATAGCTCAGCGGTAAAGTGCTACCATTGCCTGACACAGGTAAGGCCCTTGGTTCAGCACTATTCCCAAAGCAATTCAGGGGAGAAAGCATTATCTTTTAAATGACGGGGTTGGACATAGTGAAGAGCAGTAAAATTCAACTGTAGCACTTACCACACATCACATTACAGAAATTAATTCAAAATGGGTCACAGACCTAAAGATATGAAATTATAAAACTTCTAGAAGAAAACTGATGAAAATCTTACTGATTGAATTTAGCAAAGATTGGATACAACATAAAAAATCACAGTAAAGAAAAATCAATAAAATAGGCTTCATAAAAATTAGGGGAAAAAAAACTTCTTTGAAAGACATTATGGAAAGAGTGAAAAGACAAGCTACACAATGGGAGAAAATATTTGCGAAATATCGTGTTTGACAAAGGGCTTATGTCTAGAATATATAGAGTTTGCTCTACTCAATAATAAGACAATCCAATAAATAAATAGAGAAAAGATATGAATGAGTACTTCTAAAACAGATATAAATGGTGAAAGGCACATGAAAAGAAAGTAAGTCATTAGGGAAATGCAAATTAAAGCCATACTAAGATACCACTACTCTCCTATGAGACGGCTAACACCAAAATCAATTGTGCTAAGTGTTGATAAGGAGGGGTGGGGGATGATACAAGGACTTTGTAAACATCGTTTGAGTTTTCCTTAAAAATTGCCTATACATTTGCCATACAGCTCTGCAATCCCACACCTACTTATGTGAGAATCGAAACCACACACAACTGCATAAAGACTAATACGTGAATATTCTGGCAACTTCCCTTGTAATAACCCCAGACTGGAATCCAACCATGTGCTCAAGGACAGTTAAATGGTTAAGCCAACTGTGGCACATGCATGTCATAAATAAGTACTCTGCAGTTAAAATGAGTTACTGATTGTGGCAGTCAGAGGAGTGGTCCTCCAAGGAAGTTCTAGCCCAAATTCCTGGAACCTGTGCACATTAGTGACACAGCAATTGGGAATGGAGGTTCCAGGCTGAATCAAGTTTGCCAGGCAGCCGACCTCCCTGAGGGAGATTGTCCTGGATTATCCCATGAGCAATTTGATCACAAGGTGCTTAGAAACAGAAGCAGGAGCCTGGAGGAGGATCTAAGCTTTGTGAAGTCAGAAGAATCTCCAGCCAATGCCAGCCCCACAGATGGACTGGGCCAGAAGCCAAGGAATGCAGGACCTCAGGAGCTAGGAGCTGGGAGAAAGGGAGCTGGGTCAGTCCCTGGAGCCTCCACAGGGAGCACAGTCTTCAATACTGGCACCTCAGTATTGGCCCAGGAAGGCCCATTTTGGTATTCTGACCTCCAGAATCACAAGATAATACATATGTGTGTTGTTTTAAGCCATTAAATGTGTGGCAATTTGTTGCAGCAGCTGTGGAAACAAATGCATAGATATATGCAATACCATAGATGTCTCAAAATAATTGGTCTGAGTTTTGAAAGAACCAAGATAAAGCAACCACGTGTTATCTGACTCTGTCTATATAAAATTCAAACTCATCAGCATTAGGGCCAGGGACCTAGCTCAGTGGTATAAGCACCTGCCTGGCAAGTGCAAGGTCCTGAGTTTGATTCCTGGTACCAAAAAAAAAAAAAAAACCACAAAAAAACCCAAAAAGAAATAAACTCATCAGCAGTGACAGCAGATGAGTGGTTGCTGGGGAACCCATGTGGTGGGGCTGGAGGGGAGGAAGGAAATGGAAGAAAGTCACAGGGTAGATGTTCGTTATGCTGACTTTGGAGATCCTCATCAGAACTCACAAGATTGCACATGCACTGATATGCAGTGTATTGCATATTCATTATATTTCAAGTAAAATGCTAATTTAGTTAAAATCATTTGACATAAGCAGGCAACAGAGAAAATAGCTCAGATTGATGCAGGTCCTGGAGCAAAGTAGGTTCATGGAAGGGGTTTTCCATAGACAGCAAGCTGGGCAGAAGAATCTGCCTCTGCTGAGTAGGTCCCTGGGTGAGCAGCTGCCCACGTCAACAGGAGCAGGCTGCCTGGGCATTGGGTCAGAACACTGACCCTGTTCCCAATGGGGATAGGAGTCACAAGGGTTCTTAGAAAAGAGGAGACTAAGAGCTCAGCTGCATCCTGAACTAAAACCCACCTCCTGACCACACAGTGATGAGTGAATCCTGGGGGACCAATTTGGGAGAGAAGACTGGCTGATCTGGTGGGTGCCATCTTGGGTTCTCTTTAACTCAATTTCACCTGGAGGCCCCTTTGGCAAGTGGGTTCCAGGGATCGTGACATGGATATCTTTGGAGGTTAATTTCAGTCCAGTGCAAGAACAGAACACCAGGAACCAGGGAGGGGCAGAGACTGGTAGATTTGAGAGCCCCAGAGACAGGAGGATAGGATGAAGGTTATGGTCTGTTGCCAGGGCTCTACTTACCCTAGGACAGACCTGCACATCCCCACCAGTGCTGGGGTTCAAGAAAATGCCTGAATGGGCTGGGGTCTCTCCAGCCCAGGACCTGAAAGCTTAGAGAAGGTCTTCCCTGGTCCAGATGACCTTCTTTGAAGGGTGCTTGCCAAAGGAGGGCATTTCCAGGGTGGAATTTGAAGAGGGAGCTCAGCCCCTCCACCCTATCCAGCTCTGTAAAGGCCACAGAAGATGGATGCCTTGTTTTTACATGCAACAAGGGGGGACCCATAACAATCCTTTGGGAAAGGGCCAGATACCCTCACCATGGCCTCAGCAGACAGAGTGACTTCTACAAATCTACCAAGGTGGCAAAACTCCAGAATTAGGACATGCTGTGTATCCTTGAGCAATTTTCTCCTATGGGTGGCCTGATTTCCTCATCTGGGGCATGGGGACAGGCCCAGCCTCCTTGCTGGGCCTGGAGGGATGAGACAGGACAGTTTGGTGGCCATGGTCTGTGTGTGTGGAGGGAGTGGTGGCCACCACCTGCAGGTGAATTTCTTCTCCCTCATCCAGATCTCACCTTGGTGCCCACACAGCCCTGCAGGCTCTGTCATGTCATATCTTACCCCAGATCCTGCACTTTCTCCTCGCGTCACAAGATCTCCCACCCCTGCCACTGGCCGATCAGACCTGTGCAGCCTGCAGCCCTGCAAGAATTTGATGGGGACTGTGCCTGCCTGCTTCCCACATGCTGTCCGTATCGCAGGAGGGGAACTCCATCCTGGCTGAAGGTAGGTGCCCCACCATGGTCTCAGCAAGGGAAGGACAGTCTGGGCCAGGAAGGCTGGAAAAGGTGGAGGGGGTGCTCGCCTATGCAGCAGGGCCTGTGGACAGAGGCCAGAGTATGGAAGTATGGACATGGGCCTCAGAGAGACCCTGTCCAGTGGAGAGATGGGCCTGTGCATGTGGGGTGAACAGCAGTAGCTCAGAGGAAGAACTGCCTCACTGAGAACAGGAGGGTGGCAGAGCTGAGGATGTTACATGGTGCCTCACATGACCACCCCAGCACTGAGACAGCAGGGGCCATTTCTGGAAAAGGAAGGAAGTTTCTGGCTGGGTACAGACTGCAGGAAGGGCCCCATCATGTGCTCAGAGGTCAGCGTCCTGGGCCAGCAACCAGCCGGTACAGGACACTCATAGAAGGAACTCCATGCCAGGCACCACCATCTCTCTCCTCTGCTTGCCACACCACCCCACTCTCTTCTCAACAGCAGCAGGTGCCTTGGTCACCTGCAGAGGTGGCTGTCTCTCGGTCCCTGTCCTACTCTCAGTGCTGGAAAGCCTCCTTGGACACACAGAGTAAAGCACCAGGGTCCATGCTACTTCCTGTGCTTGGCCTCAGACATTCACCCATAGCGTCAGGAGCCTGGCCTCGTCTCTTACTTTTGAGGTGACCCTCTTTGGGAGGACTTCCCTGACCACCCCCAGCCCCATCAGCCATAGGAGGTACAAATCGTAGAGTGAGGGTCTGAGGAAGGAAGAGGCATCCTGCCCTGTACAGACCATTCCATCCCAGGGAGGGGTGGGCAGGGGCTCTGGCCCTGTGGAGCAGTCTCTATGGCTTTGGGGATTTAGGTACAGAGCTCACAGAGGCTGCCTCTTGGGTGGCCTGGTCCTTCCAACAATAGTTCTGAGGACAGGGCCTGGGCCCCAGGCTTCATGGAGGAGGAGCAGGTGATCGTCAGTTCCCCCGCCACTTGCTCTGGCCTGCAGGTGAAGTCCTCCTTCAGTGCTCCTCTGAGACACACTTGCAGGGCAGGGGCACTGCCCTGAGCTCAGTGCAAACATGAGAGGTGGAGGAGGGTGTTAGCAAGGACCCAGAGGGGACAGCTGACATTTTCATTCTAGGAAATACATCCCTGTCCCTCACCATGGCATTTGGGGCTTGGCTGTCCATTACCGGGGCTCAGAATACTCTGGCAAAGTGTTTTGATATTGAAGTACTGTGGACTCAGAGAGACAGGAGCCTCCGTGGAGCACCAGGTCTCTGCAACCCTCTTGCCCACTTCTTCCCACCCTCTTTCTCTCAGTGGCAGGATACAAAACAGAGCCACTCTCAGAAGGCAGCCATAAGACTCACATCACCTAGCCCCATACCCACCCCAGTAGAAGGTGGCCCTCTGACCCACCCTGTCTGAGAGTAAAGGTCCTAAGACCCTCATTGCTAAGGGTCCTGCCCTAGAGTCACCCAGGGGGAAGGGTGAACCAAGAAGAATCTGCACAGACTTTCTGGGGCCCTTCAGTCCATCACCACAAGGTCACATTTTTGTCCAGTCATATGTCTACCCAGCTGTCTATGTTTCACCAAACCTAAGCATAAAACCCACTTCTCCCTGGGCCTTTGGGTCCTGGTTTCTGAAGTCTCGCTGGATGAGTAAAATGTTGTAACTCTGTCATGCTTTCTCGTGTTGGCTTCTCTTTTGTTACAGAGCCTGATCATGGGAGGAAGGGGTCAGATCTTTCCACACCATCCAGTCTCCAAGTGTCCAGCCCCCTCCATCTGCACACCCTCCTCTGACAAGATGGGTGGGACTGGGTGTAGCACTTACCTGCCCATTCCCCCAGTTCCCCAGCCTCCTGGTCTACCCCCATCTCTCAGGAGCTGTCCCCTGGCCCTACAAAGCACCTTGACCTGGTCTCCAGGTTCTCCTACCATCTGCAAGTCCTCTGAGGCCCAAGGTGACAAAGGCCCTCTGGTTTCCTGAATGCAAATGGGGCAGATGGGGCAGGTCACATGGTGAGCAGCTGCCCTGTACCCTCCCTCAACCAGAGAGCAGACAGTTGCTCCATCCTGCACACGGAAACAGAGGCCTGGAGAGGCAGAATGAATACCAGAAGTCACACAGCTGGGCAAGTCTGTCTCCACAGCCCTGCTTCCTGCTGCAGGGACACTCCAGGTCACTCTAGGATTTGGAGCCTGCATCTCATCCCTCTTCCACTGCAAAGTCCCTCTAGGATAGAGAGTGAAGGCCTTCAGATTTTCCTGGGGCTGGGAGGAGGGCAACCTCCTTGCCCTGCCCACCTCAGTCACAGGCCAGCTGCACCATGGCCACTCTGGAACCCCCTCCCATACACACATATCACCCAGGCACTGTTCATGGAGGAGGGGCCACCTGCCCCACCCCTACTCTCTGCCTTTCTGAGTCACTGTTGCAAGAGAGGGGGTGTTGTAGCCCCAGTCCCGTTTGTCCACCTGCCTGGGAAGGGCAGGTACCACAGGGAGCTGGCATCCCTGGAGCAGGTGGCACTCACTGCCACCACCGGCCCACCCTGGGGAACAGGCCTGGTGGCCATGGGTGGAGGATGGGAGAGGATCACAGGGAGGGCAGGTGATAAGGTCTCTTCCTGAAGTGGGACCAGATCTGCCTCCAGAAGAACAGGTTCTCTGGGAGCAGAGGTGAAACCATGCCCTGGTCCACAGGGATCCATCCACTTCCTCACCCTCACAGCAAGGTCACTGCTGGACCAAAGATGCAAAGCAGGGACTTGGGCCGCCTCTTCCCTGTTGCTCTATAGCAAGGATGACTCCGTGGATGGAAGAGGCATGGAACTAAGATGGCAGGGCATCTTCTAGTCCCTAAGAATGACTGGTCCAGCATGGCTGGTGGGAGGTCAGCTTGGTCGGTCATCTGCTGGGTGGTCACTGACCCCATCTGGGGGTGAAGATGAATACAGATATTTGGGCGGTGCCTGAGATACCCAGGGCCAGGAAAGCTGCAGCTGTGGAGGCACAAGCCATGTCTTTGTTCAAGGAAACATGAGGATGTTTCTCTAAGCTCCTAGAGAAAGCCACAGGCATTGCTCAATACCACCTGTCACTCACCAACCCAATACAAGCAGCTCAGGGAACCCAGCCCCACCGAACTCTGGGCCAAACCATCCAGCCAACATGGCTTCCTAGCCAAATAAACCCACCCACCCGCAGAGGCTGTGCTCCCCCAAGTCACTACTATGACTCTGTGTCACTCAACTCAGTTCCAGCTGCCCCATCCTCTTCCAACCCTCTATCAGTGCTCTTTACCTCCATCACAGGGTTAGGGTTAGGGTTAGGGTTAGGGTTAGGGTTAGGGTTAGGGTTAGGGTTAGGGTTAGGGTTAGGGTTAGGGTTAGGGTTAGGGGGCTTCGGGTTTTGGCCCCTCCTTCTTTTACTTACTCCTCCCACTGCCCTATTTTCACTGGAACATCTCCACCCACGGGAACTTCAGATCTTCCCGTACTGCACCAGCCTTGCTTCAGACCTCACTGTACATTCAAGCCCTTGGGGACTCCAACAGCAGGTCAACCTACAGGACCCAAATTGGACTCTTCCTCATTCCACAGGCTTTGTTTCCCTAAATAGCAACATCCTGGGTAATTCAGCATCTCTCCCAAGGTGTCCAGATCCTGACGCCTGGTATGTGTTGAAGATGTGGCTTTGCATGGTTGAAGGGACTTTGCAGGTATGGTTAAAGACAGGACCTCAACATGACCTAGTACAGCTGGGCGGGGCCTATGTCCCTGGAGGGCAGGAGGGTTGGCCAGAGGAAATGAGTGGTGGTGGTAGCTTAAAGGGTGGTGGTAGAGGTGCAGGCAGGGTCTGAGCCAAGGGACTCTTGGCCTCTAGAAGCTGGAGAACCCAGAACAGGTTCACCCTCTAGAGCCCCTTAAAGGAGCCAGACTGCTGATACCTCAAGTTTGGCCCTATGAGTCAGATGGTGGGCTTTTGCCCTCCAGAACTGTAAGAGTAAGTTGTGTGAAGTAGCCCAGTTTGTGGTGATTTATGACAGAAGCCACAAAGGTCCTGGCACAGCAGCTCTGTTCCCACAGTGATTCACGTTGGGACCCAGGTGGCATCTTTATTCCCAGGAGGAGCAGAGAGGCAAAATATGTGCAATGAGGGGCTGGGAATTTAGCTCAGCGGCAAAAGCGCCTGCCTGGCAAGTGCAAGGTCGTGAGTTCGGTTCCCAGTACCGGAGAAAAAAAAAAAAAAAAAAAAAATGTGCAATGCTGTCTCACCTCTGTCTTCCCAGTGTCCACCACCTGCCCCTCCATCCCATTCCTTTGGGTTTTTTTTTTTTTTTCCCCAGTGTTGGGATGGAACACAGGGCCTTGTGCATGCTAGGCAACTGCCGTATCACTGAGCTGCACCCTCAAGTCCTCTGCTCCATTCTTATTGCCATAGTCTCAGTTCAGGCCTGCCCTCTCTGACCTGGACCCCGTCCGCCTTCAGGCCACACTGCAGGGCACTCCTCTGTCTTCCCCAGGTCACCCCTCTCTGCTCTGTGTAACCTTCGCCCTGACCTTCCTTATGAGCCTGTAGTGTCCAGAGCCTGAAGACAGTATGTCTCAGCTACCTCCCCCTGGAAGCCAATCCTCGCCATGGGCCTGGGTCCCACCACATCCACCACAGTTTTCGGCTCTCCAGCCCCCAGGTGCCCCAGGACACCCTCCTTGAACCCATTTGACCTTGCCAGTACCCTCTAGTGATAGAATAAATGGGCTATAGAAAAAGATTTATTTTAAAGAACTGGCTCATGGAGTTGCGGTTGCTGTAAGTCTGAAGTCTACAGGATGGCTGGAGCCCAGGGGGAGTTGACAATGTAGCTGGAATCCAAAGGCATCTGCTGACAGAACTGCTTCCTGCTGGGGGACCTCAGTATTTTTCTCTTAAAGCCTTAAGCAGATTAGACAAGGCCCACCTCATCATAGAGACTCTTCTGATTTCCTCATAATCCTCCTGATTCAGATGTTAATCCCACCTGGAAAATGCCTTTACAAAAACATCTCAAATGGTGCTTACTAATACCTAGGTACTAGCAACCCATCTCATCACAAGCTCTCCTGCTTTGTGACGTGCTGCATCCCCAAGGGAAGAGGGAGAGGAGAGAGCAGGCATGCTGTACACCAGTTCTGTGTGCACATCCTCACAGGGGCAGCAGTCCCCTGTGGAGACTGTACCCGACCTCCATTCTTGTGCCTCCAAGGGTCCCACCCTGCCCTGTGGGCCAGGCTCTCTAGGTCCTAAGCAACTATTTGTTCACTTGGGACTCATTCTACACATGATTATTTTTTCCTTGCGAGAACCTTGCAAATACTAGGCAAGTGCACCACCACTGAGCTACTGAACCACTAAGCTACACCCAGCCCTGCCACGTGCCAAGTTCTGTTCTAGACGCAGGGGAAATTCTCGGCAGAGTGCAGAAATTCCTGTCCCTGTGGGCTTTATATTTCAGGTGGGACATGGAGTAGGCAGCTCACAGGGGGCTTTGGAATGATGGGGAGGAGAAGCTACTGCAACAGAGAAGCCTGTCTGAGTAGCTTCATGCAGGTAATGGATCACAGAGCTGGGAAACAGCCACCGATACTGAAGCAACAAGAGCTGAATTCGAGGTGTAAAGGAGGAAAAGAGGCAGGTCAGAGATCAGAGGAACTAACCTGCCATGTGGCTCAAATAAATGGGCCCTGGAAGGTCATGGGTGTGTCTGGGAGGGCTGGGTTGAGTAAATGCAGGGGGCCCTGAAGGGAGGAACCAAATGTCAAGGTGAGGGCCCTGGTGAGAAGAAGGCCAGCTGGGAGGCAGGGCAACTGTGCTGGTAGAAGGCAGTGGTGGCCTGGACCTGGAGGCAGTGAGAAGTGTCAGATTCTGGCCTCACTTGGATCACACAAATGGTGCATGGTAGGGAGTCGATACTGACATTCCGGGGGTCTGTCCAAAACAGCTAGATGGCAAGGGATTGGCTGAAATGGGGATGGGGCAGGCCGAGGGGCTTGAGGAGGAAGACCAAGAGCTCTGCTCTGCCTGCATCACTAGAGCTGGTATCTATGAGGCACACCAGGTAAGCCATAGAGCCACAGCAGCTATTTAAGTTGAGAATCCAGGGGGAAGGGCAGGGGAGAGGTCCAGCTGAGATACAAGTTTGTGAGTAATCAGCACCCATGGTATCCTCACAATAAGAATGGGTGAAACCAAGGGCCAAGCGTTTACGGAGTACAGAAGAGGCCTGGGGATTGGGCCCTGGGACTTCCAACATTAGAAAGCTAGAGGATTGAGAAGAAGCCAGCAAAGGAGACTGAGAAGCAGCCACCTGGAGACAGAGAGGATGAGACAAAAGCTTGAAAGCCACTGAAGAAAGTGGCCCAGGAGGGGAGTGGCCTCTGTATCAGCCACCTTTGCTGATGGATGATTTAGCAATCTGAACTTGACGTGAGTCATTTCAGTGTTCAGTGAAGTACGGGTGATGTCTAAGAGAGAATGACTGTTACCTCAGGAAGCAAAACAGTGTAATGGCAATTAAGAGATGGGTGGAAGGAAGGAAAGGAAGAGTCTCGGATATGCGAGTGTCAAGGTTATAGAAATACAGTGGAGGAAAGGATGATTTCTCCAGTAAGTGCTATGATTGAATTGAAGATCCTG